TCGCCTTATCGCCTTCCGTACTGGGATCAGTCAATTGGGGGAGTTTGCTGGGCGCGTCATCCGGCGCTATCGATTGTGCTTCAGCTCTGGAGCAGCCGAGACCGCCAAGCAAGAGCTCCAAGCTCGTCAATAATACAAAGACTGGCCCCTTCCAGATCCCCCTCCACTGTACCATAGTGGGGATTGAGCGATTGCATCGTCGTGTGCGCACACGATGGACGACTCCACAGAGCTTCACGGCGTGGGCTTATATAACGGCATGTCCAACAGGGCGCGCGGGTGGAAGTCGAGGAGGTTTGGAGTTGGAGAGTTCCTGAACGGCGCCCGCATTCCATTGCACTCGAACGTAAAAAGGTGGGACGGCGCTGCAAGGATGTGCTACGACTGGGATAACCTACGCAGAGTAAGTGAGACATTGCTGCATCATCGACAGCTACAGCCCGTGTGTTTTTGCTGCCATTTTATCTTACACCATTCCTAGGACCCAGAGCTCTGGTATAAGCATGGTAATTGTTTTGTGCACCTTTACGGGAAGGGCCAGTCGCGCAGGGGACCTGCATTCAAAGTTCCTCTCTCTGCTCTCATTGCTGCCAAGTGCGAACCGCTCATAGAGAGGTTCACGGTCCCGGATTTCCCTGAATCGCCTGGATCAAGCGTTTATGGCGACGGGAGCTTGAGCTTGTTGAATCGCGCCCAGCTTCTTGATCGGGTAGATCTGTATATCCCGCCGCCACCAGCTAGCGACGGACACCAAGCGCTCCAGTATCATATAGCAACTAGGAACTTGTTTGCCTGGGTCTTTCGAAGATCTATGGTTGGGGAGCATTTAGGAAGTGCAATCATTACACTACTAAACACAATGGCCGAATTCCGATCGACCGAGGAGAACATGGAGGATTTGTTGAGTTATCTTGACGAGGAAGGGTACCTTGATGTGCGAAACCAGCCCAGTCATGCTCTTGCCATACTTCACCTCGCCGAGTCTCTTCAGATGAAGGATCTATACATCAGTGCATTCGCGCACTGCGTGGGGATGAGCGATCAACTCTTCCTCAGTTCAGAGTATGAGGTAAGATTGTGCTTATTAGTAGTGTCGTTGTTGTCGCACAATCTAACAGCTTCCAGTATATCAGTTCAGAGTCCCGCAAGCTCATCCGCCGAGCAAAGGTTGAGATGGACCTGAAGCTCGCACATGCAGGCTCAATGCTAAAGAACTTTCTCGACGACGATCTTTCCGAGTCGAACCTCGGCCTCTCAGGAGGAGCACGGACACATCTCGATCGATTCAGAGCATACCTCCACGGTTTCTATACCTCGAAGCTGGGATACTTCCCGCCACCATCTATTGATCCCCGCTGCACAATCTTCCAGGGCCACGTGTATCGCTCGATGAGAGAGGATTTTGAGGCCTTGTACGAGTATCTCGTGGACAAGAGCTTCACAACAGCCCACAACAGCCCCTTCCTGGCGCAAGGAGGGCTCTGCACGATGCAAAGTGTTCATGCATTCGACCTCCGACACAAATACAAATCTCTCCCACACCCATTGCCACTCCTACCAGAACAGATACCGTCCAAGCATGCGAGGAGAGTGTCAGTATCCTGGCTGCATAAGTCAGACAAGCTTCGTCCAGATCAGCGACTCTTAGCCCACGCCGCACTGCTAAAAGCGTCGAATAAGGCCGATCAAGACCTGCTCCGGAACGACCTGGTCATAGCGTACCGGCGATTCGAAGAGGACTCGATCTTTCATCCTCTAAAGGCAGACCGCAGTGAGAAGATCAGCCAAGTTGACGCGAGGAAAGTCCGCTGGATCTTGATATATGACATCTATCAGACCTTGCGGCACTGCACCCAGATACCAACTGAAGTTCGGGACCAGGACGTACCATATAGCCTCTCCATTTCCACGACCAATCTCCCACCATGGAATGAGGAACAACAGCCGCTGCATCGTCGCTCAGCGGATGAGGAGATGGTGCGTGGACGGCCAGCCAGCCCGGTTCGAGGCTCGGTTGTCTTCACCCAATCAACGCCAGGCTTCAATCTCGAGATCAAGCCAGACATTGACTACTTCGCCCTAACGCATCGCCAATCAAATTCTTCCACCACCACCAGAGATATCACCTCTGGTCCTCCCGTCGTGCCTCCTCGAAGCCGGAGCCTCAGCAGGAGCTTCACAAAGAACAGCAGCTTCCGCCGGTCTCTCAGCCTTCTCCGTGGTGCCCCCGCGCGAGAATCACTAGTACTGCAGCCCCAGCCCAAGCGAGCTACATACCACGAGATTGTCGTCCATGGCTACGGAAACGGAACAAACGATGTCAACATGACTCCAACGAAGATTGGCTCCGTCCAGGAGGAGCCCGCGTCTCCTATGAGCATCGCGACTCGTTCCGCTTCCACGTCGTCCAACGCTAGCAGCGTCTCCAAGTCAGACAGCAGCGAGGCAGACACCTCCATCTCTTCGATGGATGCCGCGACCCCTCACACTGAGTACAGCAGCTCAGGCTGCAGCAGCCGGCGGAGCAGTCTCAACAGCCCTGGCGAGGAGACCGGAAGCACCGAGAAGGAGCAGTCTCAAGACCTGCCATCACCTGACGAGGCCCCCCAACAAAAGGCCCTTCGAACCATGTACTCGAATGACGACATGCTCATGGTGACGCCGCCTCTTCCACGGCGGAGCAGCAAGCGTTTCAGTGTGTGCACCACACAGAATCTGTATGACGATCTGGACATGCAGCCGTCTCCTCTGCGGATACGCAAGAAGCCTTCGATCTACAAGCTGGCCGAAGATCCCAATGAATGGGACAAGATCGCAGAGGACCTGGAGGCGGACTATAAAGAGCTCGCCAACAGCATGGACGACATCAAGCCAGAGTGGGAACAGTTTGCTGATTTGGGCGGCCTGCAGCCCATCGATGCTGCTGTCGCCTCATAGTAGTTCATTTAGACACACTTGGATTAAAAGGGGTTTGATAACGGGGAGCAAGACATGACTACTGCTTTTCTCTGTGGATCATCAAACAAAACTGTCCATATTTCCATTCAGTACACACTCACCGTCGTCCAATGACGAGGCCTCGAAGTTGTTTTCTTTGTACGCTTTTCGTAGCAGATACCCACAGACATTCGGTCATTTTACTTTTTGGCGCTGAAGAAACGAGGCTGTATCGGGCGGCATTGTGTATTATTAGCCAAGCCTAATGTTTATTCATGAAGATCGATGTATTACGACCCGTTTCATCAAAAAGCATGCAAGTGCGACCTCGGCCTAATCATTATCTCCAAACGCATATACGAATCGGTGGCTTGACCACAACGCTGCAATTGCTCTAGTCTGCGCTGACGCACAACAGCCTCCTCATCATTGGTCGCGTACACATCGTAAAACATGACCGAAGAGCTCTTCGCCAGGCTCTCCATCCAGGTGCTTCCTATTAATACTAGCGTCTCTGCCGCCAAGGTCAGAGAATCATAGCGCTCCCCTGCCTTCTGTCTGTCTCCTAACAGACGCCTCTGTATTTGGCGCTTGTGCATATATACAATCCATCGCAATTCACGGGAGATCCCATCCGTGGGATCCTGCTCACGAGATCGGCATCTTCATTGTATCCGGCGCAACCTCCGACGTCACCCTCCCGCTCGGGGCTGCCCTTTGTTCAGATCACCTGTCGCGCTCGTGGAGTGGTTTATTACTCGGATTTGATGGATCGCGGCGCGGCAGACGCGAGAGTGAGGCCGTCGATGATCTCGCTTCCGATTTGGTAGATCATGTATGTGGGGACGACGAGCCATGCGCCGCTGTGAGGGGCGTTAGGTACGGGTGTTTTTTTCGGTACGTGCGTCTCTATAGAAATACTTACTTTGGGACGATCCAGAGGAGGAGCAGATCCAGCGGCTTGTTGTGGCCGATGTTGTCGAAGCTAGAGTGGTACTCATTCAACCCTATTGTCGCGACGCGTCAGGAAGTCGACAGAGTAGATTCGCGAGACGACCGATGCCCCGCGACTTCTCAGTCAAAGAGCACTTACAGTACAGCACCGTCTTGCTCACAGTCATGACCGACGCCGCGAAGCCCAAGACGACAGCGAACGCGCCGGCCCGGCCCGCGATCCTCTTCTCGCCGCCGCGGACGCCGCGGGCGCTCGAGTACCAGATCCAGAAGTAGGCGAGGTACATGGCGGTCTCGACGGCGTTGAGCCAGCCCTGGGCGGCGGTGAAGCCGTTGCCGGCGTTCCACTGCTTGAAGCCGTAGATGTGGTCGACCTCGCCGTACAGGGCGTAGGGGGCCCAGATGGGCCAGTGCGCCCAGCCGCCGGGCATGGTGTGCGGGCGGCCGAGCACGTAGCCCGTGTCCCAGATGACGAGCGGCAGCGACACGGCGAGCCAGATGAGGGTCAGCGTCGTCGGCGCGTGGGACCATCCGGACGGCGACGAGGAGGTCGACGAGGTCGAGGAGACGGGCGTCACGGCGCGGGACGAGCGGTGGGGCGTCGTGGGCGGCAGGCCCGGGGTCAGGGTCGAGGACGAGGAGCGTGTGCTGACCATTTTTGTTGCTTTTTCCGTGATCAATTGAACTTGGCAGGCGGTGAGGACGTAGTCAGCAAGGAAAAAGGGTATCGTATTGTCGCAATTATGCGATTCTCGCCTTTTGTGTATGTTTTGTTGATGTTATTTCCCGCCCGTCTGTCGATCTAACTGGACTGAGGTAAGGAGGCAACACGAAATGAGGAGAAGGCCTCGGGTTCCCGCCTTCCCCAACTCCATGCTCCGAGTAGTTATAGTAATCCCTAGGCAAGGTAAGGCGAGATCATCGTCGCAAGCGCTACCGTAGAGTAGTATTATTACAGATGCTCCCCTCCCCCAATGATACACTGCGAATACGCCGTAGTACGGAGGACGGCGGCGCAATTCTGCGTATTCGTAAGGTCCTGCATGAGCTTTTGCCCCAGTGGTGGCAGTCCAGTGCTGGAAGCGGGACCGGCTGTTCCCCGTCGGCTCTAGCGGACACCTGCCAAAGGTGAACTTGGCCTGGAATTGCCTGTTTCAGGCTGTTTAGTGGCTGCTTGTGGGGAGATTGGTGCTGCCGGCGGGGTCATTCATGCCGCACCGCCGCCTTGTTTACGTTGCGTCAGGTGGCTTCACCTCGAGCCAATGATCTTACACATCTCACATAAGACTTCTCTCTCTCTCGGTGGCATCGCCATTGGACTTCTACGTTGCCAGCCGAGATGCCACCACGAGACTCTGAAGGTGATCTAGCTTTCAAGAAGAAGTCCGTTTGGATACAGGTTGTTCAACAAGAAACGAGTCACTTCTTGATGCACACTTTTGCCAAGAGACTTCAACCGCATATTTTGACTTGGTAGATATAATCATGGATCTTGGTATACAGGCATTATTACATAAACACAATCAGCTATTGCTACCTCCCTGGATGATTTCATCTACATACCTAGGCATTATCGTTGAGTGAAGGTGTGTCTCACCCTCAGGCCTCAAAGCCTCAAACCCTTGCCAGTGGGCTATTTCCTCCGAGGCAATACACTGATCCGAATAGCATGGCGGTAGTCTGTTAAGGAAAGAAAAAAAAGCCCCAGTAAAGATGAAAACGTAGGCGTATGCTGAGCTCCCGGTCAATGCATTGTCATTTTGTTAGGGGCAGTAATTGTGCGACAGAGTGTGTGGATGGAGACTAGGGAAGTCGCGATGTCCAGCGTGGAAAGACATCTTCTATTGATTTCATTGTTACGAGGACGGTACTGTCAAGGCTTTTGCCTTCAAGAGAGTCATTATAAAGGTGATATAGCCGAATTATTGTACAAAGTCTGGCGATGCTGATTTCACTTCTTCATCAACTTCACCTACCCCCCATAGCCATTTCTCCACCCATCATGATTCAGCTCGAGAATAATGGCTATAATAGCGTCAGTTTTCTGCCATCAGAGGCTCGGGTTATTGATGACATGACTTCTTCTATAGCTATGATCTTATCAAGGAGTCATTTCTTAATCAAGACACAATAGTCAAGACTATCCCACTGTCAGAAGGATGATTCTACCTAGTACTACGTATATTCAGGCAGCAATAAGAGCGTGTGCGGCCGGCTCGAAAGAATACCGGTGGAAAGGCGGCTTTTAACCATGATCGTTGCATTGACATTGTCTGGAGACGCGAGTGTTGTAGTCGATGTGTTCACCTGCATTCTCGTAGGTGACGATTACAGAAAGCCGGCCGAAAGATCATGGATTGGTAGTATAGCCACGTAATAGAGTATGCCTGTCACGAACGCGGCCGCATACCAAGTCTGAAGGGAGTCTCGACTAGTAACTATGCGGAATAGAGCAAAATCGGTGATTGTTGCTTGAGCCGAGAGTTAAGACTGATATAACATAAAGTGGATATCTCTGCAAGTGGATTCCATGTCACAGTCATACTTCTCAGGTATTGCTCCATAAAACCAAATTCTAAGACAACTCTTGAATCTGAAGATGAGAACATATTCTGATCATTCATCTGATGTGTTCAAAGGCAGAAATCTTTGACATCTTGAGTAATATACACAGTAAGCGGAATCACGGCATTGAACACTCCGATTGTCACAAAGTTGGAAGAGGAAAGGCTCGATGTAGTTGTAAAAGCTATCTAGTCTAACCGGAGAACTCATAATCTCTGGTTTTCGGAATTTTGTCATGAGACATAGAATCTTAGAGCCAGAGTGGCATACACCTGAGAAGAACCGCTGCTGTGAATCTGGGGTTGGGGCATGTGGCTGATGAGCCAAATATCATGGCTCGTACAACAAAGGGTTTCTAGTGGGCCTCATAGCCATACTCTTAATGATAGCTATGCAACTATCTACAGCGTTCGAGCTCACGCTGCGAGACTTGTTAGCATCCTGATTACCCCAATTGTCTAGTAGAGAAACCAACCATCGTTAAGTGTTTGCGAGCATGAATGTTGTAAATGTTATGAGTCATCTAGAGGTGCACATCACCAGCCTGTTAGCTGGAGTTTCATATCTGTGCAAACAGTATGGGGACTGTAGTCCCACCTGCGACAGAGATGAGTAACATACGTGAACCTCGTAATCATTACCAAATCTCCTTTGTAGTAGAGTGTCCAGTTTGTGAGGGTCAATGTCTTCCGTTGGCACCTCCTGTTGTTGAAAGGCTCCAGCTCGACTTGACCCTGCCCAATTCAGCTTCCTAATAGCATCCTCGAGTATGGTTCGAATGCCCATAGCATGTAGAGATAAATCCTTCCTGCTAATATGGATCAATAGTGACTAAGAGCTAAGAGTTGGATTTCGAGATTCGTGGATGAGATTATCGCACGAAAATATGCCATAAGGTGCGAACCTCGAGCGCGTCGTGTGAGGAATGAAACCCGGGTAAAGAAGGTCCGGAGGAGGGCTCCAGGTTCTTAAAGTGTGTGTCAATTGGGGTAGGCTGTGCGGAAAACGCCCAACATAGAAGAAGGGCCGCAATGCGCACATTGAAGAGGGTGTGTTCCACCCCACCAATAAGCAGCCGCGTCTTCTGTTATTCTCAGCCCCCAGACATTCTCGGCCGGTGGGGGCGGCCTAGATGGCAATACTATCTGCATTTCATCCTGAAAGAAAGCCACTTGAGACAATATTGAGTCGAGCCGAACGATAATTAATCCAATGGCAGGCCGCCTCGACGCCACCAACGTCAAAATTGGGCTCTGTAGAAAATAGGAGCACACCACTTGATAGACAAGTAGTCTTGATTTAGCGGTCAGGTGTGATATGACAACAATTCAATGTAGACAAGGCTGGCTTGAGGCATGAATTTGGAAAATACATGATATTTAAACGATTACAATTCTGCTGTTACATACTATGGCCGTGTCACTACCTTACCCACTCTAAATTTTTTAGAGCCCAGCCGTTAATTAAATATTGATCTCGGACATGTAAATTGTACGACTGGGTGTGTACTCCCCTCCTGAGGATTGTGCATTGAGCATGGTACCCAAGCCAGAACTGTCTTCACTGGTGCCAAGTGGACAGGCAGATCCCGCCCTTGCAGCCGCCACGACTCAGCATAATGTGGTGACACTTCCTGCGTTTGAGGCTTTGGGCATCGAGTCATTAGAAACGGAATCTAGTCGGATCATAGCAAAAGTGCCCACTGAGACAGCCATCGCAGGGTCTACAACAGATGTCATAGTAAGTCCAATCGTTTAGTCTTGAATCCATTACAATATAATAACTTTCACGCAGAGTCAAGTAGCGCAGTCGGATTCCGAAGTTCGTTTGAATCATTCGCCAACCGCTACACGATTTGACTTGAGGAACGTGGCCCCGCAAACCAACGTCCCCGATAGGGAGCCAAGCATTATAACGGACCTTGGACATCGGCAGCATGCCCTTCATGTCCTTAAAAGCCAGCGACAATCAAACAACTCAAACCAGGATAGTAATGGTCTCAGCTTGAAAGAACAGCTTCGTTTAGCAACGATTCCCGTCCCATCCTTTGGAGGTCCTCAAGGAAGTGGGTTCATTCCCATTGGCCAGCTCATTGAGCTCATAAATGAAGGCTCAATTCAGCAGACTTTTCGGCGTTCAAATTCTGGACTTAGGCTTTCCAAAAAGAACGCACCAAGTAAGAAGACTAAGCTGCCTCCTGAGGCTGTGAGAAAAATTTGTGGCAGTGACCAAAGCCAAGAACCGTCAACTTCGGAGAAAGACCTACACCCCATTAACATCTTTAGGAAGATATTTGCGATCCTAGTCTTAATCGACAAACCACGATACATCGAGAAATTCATTGAAGATGGTATTTGTGACGCACATCTCCCGCTCGGTATTTATACTACCAGGACGATATTATCGAAGTCCTGGTTGTATCGAAACGACACCTCGACAGCCGTCCGTCTGAGATGTTCGGAAAAGTGGAGTAATAACTCAATTCGACAATTTTACAAATCTCAATGGATTGTGTTGTCTCCTTTCTTTAAATTGGAAGATGATGGCAAGCCCCGCCATCTCAAGATCCCAAACGACGCCGTGTTACCCTTCGAGTCGATTGAGCACGCCGGGAAAGGCGGCTTTGGCGATGTGTATAAAATTCGAATACATCCAGATCATCACAACTTTTCGTCATCTGAGGTAAGAGGCGCTGATACACTTAGCTGCTCACATCTGCTACCCCTGCTGGTGTGAAATGCGAAGAACCGTTTACTGATTAAGAAAGTCTGAAACTACACTCTTCGCAGATAAGAAACTTCGTACTAAAGGCGAGGACGGAAAGAATTACTGGGAACAGGAACGCAAGATGCTCAAGAGATACAGCTCCGAGGGCCACCCACACTCACATATTATCTCTCTGCTGGCCACATACGACCAGTTGGGTTACTATCATTATTTATTCAATTGCGCTGATACTGATCTCTTGAACCTTTGGAAGACGAGGAACCCTACACCAGAACTTGATCAAAAGTTAGTAGTGTGGATGGCAAAACAATGTGAAGGAATTGCTGATGCACTTTATTTAATCCACCTGCGACCCACAACGGAC